ATGCAGTCTTGCTCTGTCACCCAGCTGGAGTGTGCAGTGGCGTGATCTCAGCTCGCTGCAACTTCTGCCGCCTGGTTCAAGCAATTCTCCTCACTCAGCCTCCCAAGTAGTTAGAACTACAGGCATGTACCACCATGACTGGCTAATTTTTTTCATTTTTATTTTTTATCAGGGGAAAGCGCAAGTGCAGTCCCCCACTACCACAAATTATGCAGTCCAGTTTCCCACATCTAGGGAAATAGGAGTGGTCAGCACATCCGGAATGCAATGGATTAGCCTCACCCTGGGAAAACCACCTTCATGATCATGGTATCTCTCCTGCCAGGTAATTTTTGTATTTTTAGTAGAGACAAGGTTTCACCATGTTGGCCAGGCTGGTCTCAAATTCCTGACCTCAAGTTAACCACCCACCTCAGCCTCCCAAAGTGCTGGGATTATAGGCACAAGCCACTGCACCCACCCTCACATATATCTGTTTTTCAAAGCTCTTCACTCTTGATATTATTTATTTATTTATTGGAGACAGGGTGTCATGCTGTGGCCCAGACTGGAGTGTAGTGGCACAATCACAGCATACTGCAAACTCTGCTTTCTGGGTTCAAGAGATTCTCGGGCCTCAGCCTCCTAACTGGGATTAAAGGCACACTTGGGTAATTTTTGTAGTTTTTTTTTTTAGTAGATAGCGGGTTTTACCATGTTAGCCAGGCTGGCCTCAACCTCCTGATCTCAAGTGATTTGCCCATCTCAGCCTCCCAAAGTCCTGGGGCTACAGGCTTGAGCCACCCTGCCCAGCCCATTCCTGCTATTATTTAATTGTATTTTTTTTATTGTCAAACAATTTACATTTGGAATTGATATTTAGTTTTACTTGTAATGTAGCTTTCTGCCGTTCTTTACCAGGGAGTATGTTTATAAAGTGTTGCTCAGAAAGAATTGGCAACAATAGCTTAGAGTGCAAATGGAGTTGGGACCAGATGGCCTGGGGGTCGGTACTGTCTGAATTAGATACTGGAATTGATGACCCCTCACCCAGGCACCTTCTATTCAAATGATCATCGTTAATGGGATATAGACAACTACCAAGGAATCTGTATCTTTGTGTATAGCACTGGGCCCTGAAAAGTCATTTAGTGACTATTTATGGCTGACTGAGATTCCTGCAAAAGCCTAACTCTGCTACAATGTTCTCAGGTGAATGCAAATTATGACTTTAAAGTTCGTGTACAGGTCACAAACTCTATTCACAGGTGCTACAGATAATTTTAGGAATTGAAGGCTGGGCTTGGTGGCTCACACCAGCAATTCCAGCACTTTGGGAGACTCAAGCAGAAAGCTCATTTGAGTCCTGGAGCTCCAGACCAGCCTGGCCAACATAGGGAGACTTCATCTCCACACACACACACGCAAATTAGCCAGGTGTGGTTGACAGCACCTATAGTCCCAGCTACTCAGGAAGCTAAGGTGGGAGGATCCCTTGAACCTGGGAGGTCAAGATTATAGTAAGTCCTGATTATGCCACCGTACTCCAGTCTGGGCAACAGAGGGAAACCCTAAATCAAAAAGTAAATAAACTGTGTATCTATGTCTTGCTTTTAAACTCAATTATTTGAATTTAGGACTATTTTCATCAAATCCTATATTTACACTATCCAAAAAAAATTTTTTTTTTTTTTTT